AGAAACACTCAGTAGCAGCCCGGAGTCCTGACTCTCTGAAACTTCCTGAAGTTTGCGGATTTTCATCCCAGTGGCTCGGAAAGCATTTAAAGACATTGGTCCTACACCTGACAAACGAGCACACAATCCACCTGATACTAAGTGAATGCTGTGACCCATAGACATCTACATTTATCCTCGATTAAGAATCAAAATGCAGATGCGTTGTCACTCCTGAAGACTAAGATGAAGTACCTCTTTTCCAGTAAAAAGAGTTTTCGGTTCTCTACACTAACCATACGAAACACAGCAGCTTTAAGCTGCTATTTTACGTTGGTATTATGTGAGAGCATGGCACTACCCCGCTCGAGCCGACCCATTCGTGGTACAACCATAATATAGCTGCAGCAGGGCTCTACGACGTATGAATAGTTAATTATTTCTTATTATTGCCAACCAATAACAATCACAGGAATTCATGCCGGGTGTGTAAGGTCAGTGCATGAGTTCAAATCAACGGTTGCGAACCGTTACTGTATATGTTTTGAGCATATTATGATGCTTACTCTCGTGAAATGACTGCCTTGAAATCGATAGCAAGACACAGATGCTGCCAGTCTGTTCTTGTTCTACAGATTACATTTCGGAGAACGTGCTCGCGGGCTGTTGCTATTTTTAGTACCTACATCCCAGTTTTGTTAACGAAACATTCGACTTGCAGTTAGATTTCATCCTCACGCTTTTGACGACGTAACCATGTCCTATACAAAGCATTTCACTTGTTAATTTTTGCTTTGAGTTGGAATTATAAATATGTATGTGTGTCTGTAGGGGAAGGTGGTGGGACACCGGATAGTTAAGATAAAGATCCAATAAATAAATCACTATGCTATTTATTGAGATAATCAATATCACAAAGGCAAAGGTTAAAGTATATCTTATAGGCATAGATTTGGTATAAAAATTATTGAGATCAATCTTAATAACTACAAAGTAGAAAAATTTTAACCAAAAATTACAAATCCGAATTCACCCCACACCTATGGATAGGCATTTTATATTAAAGGGGTGAACACAGATACTAGCAATAAAACAAAATATTGGAATTATTCGCAGTTTATGCATACAATAAATAATAATTCTTGCTCAGAACAACCAATGCAACTTTCGTGAGCCCATTTAAGATAGGCGCTGCATTGGTAACATTCATCTATGGATTTTGACTATACTTTTCACCACAAACAAAACACTTAGAATCCTCTTCATAGTTTTCTTTATTCGCCTTTTTCCCGATACCCTTCCCTTAGCTTTGCCTTTAAATTTTATTTCACTAACTGATGGCGTAGTCTTTTCAGCCAGTTCATTTTTATACGGTGATTCAGTCAAAATTGCAGTTTTTCCTCGACGTAATGATCGACGCATGTTCTTCTTAAAATGAGGAATTGTCATGATATCTTTCGGTGATACAAGACTAATAGAATTTGAAAACGTGTGTCCTTCTGTAGATGTTCCTGCTTGCGGGGACGGAGTTCTTTCTTGAGGCAATGGATCCTGAGAGATTTCATTAGTTGTTGGTACAAATGATGTTTCTGTAGTCTGTGATGGTGCAAAATCAACATCTGTAAAAATATTGGGATTCAGTGGGCAAATTCCGGTTTTGGAGAAAGCAGACACTGAATTTTGCATGGTAGTGGCACGATTATAAGCAGTTCCAAACAAACATGACATTTGAAGTTGGGTGACAACACGCCCCGGATGATTTCGAAGCCATAACTGGACTTCTTGTGAGTAAAACGTGCTCAAAGGCTCCATAAAACCAACATCGAGTGGTTGTAAGCGATGCGTGAAGTGAAGTGGCAAGCATAGCATTATCACCATGAGCACGAGCAAACTCAATAGATTCTAGGTTCTTAGTATGGGTGTGGAGGGCCGCCACCTTCTGTGAATCCGTTATGATCCAGAAGGAGGCTGCTGAGCGGTGTCGGGAGAGGACAGATCCGCTCGAAGACGACGCTGCCAAGGCGTTCATCAGGGCCCTCCCCTTGATGATGGTGTTCCCCTACCAGAAACGGGGCCTCGGGGTTTACGGTCACTCGGGGCGGAAGCCCCGAGCGTCTAGTGATGTAACACCTGAGGAGGACGGTGACTTGAAAGTGGTCTCGAGCACCGTGATAGCATTAGGAGGGTGCTGGAGGTGCTGGAGGTAGTAGTACTGCCATCGGGACGTGCTTTAATAGAGCAAAGCATGAGAGGGGCCCCGGTTGCGTTCCTAACGGAGATCCCGGGACCCCTCATATACGCTGATGGAGACCACCGTGGGGTTTTGGCCGGTAGGAGTCCGGCATAACCTTTCCGTTGCCCCCGCAACAGAAGGTATCCATGAGGATTTCCCCACGATAAAAAAAGGTTCTTAGTATGGGTGGCTTGACCATCTAAGACAAGAATCACAGGATCTTCTATGCTTGGTTTAACACAGCCGATAAAGTGACACATCAATTCGGTGAAAATATGTTGCTGTATCCATTCACTTGGATGGCATACAGCTACTGTACCTGGTGGTGCACCATCCAAAATTCACTCTTCATTCGTGCTCGAGGAAAAATCATAAGCGGTGGAACATAATGTCCAGCTGCAGAAAAGTAAAGCACTGCCGTTACCAAATGGCCCCGTACAGCCGAAGCTAGTGCACCAACTTGTTTTTTACCTTCCAACGACACAATTTTTCCTATTTTATTTTTTTTTTGGTACAGAGGTCAATCCAGTCTCATCCATGTTATAAATTCGCGTGGAATTGAACGCGTGCTTAATTTAGTGTTTCTAAAAGATTAAAAAATGACGATACTACAGACCAATTAAATCCCATTGCTCTTGCAGCTGATGTTGCTTCAAGTGACCTTAGAGATAATTCAGAATGTCATTTTAGAAATTCACTAACCCAATCTAAACCAGCTAGTCCAATTTTTTTATTAAAAGGATGATTTAAATTATTTCTTTCAGCTAATTGGAATGCCAAACGTCGCAGGTCTGTTTTAGTCAATCCAAATAGTCGAGATTTCATAGTTTTAATATGTTCGACGAACATACCTTGAAGCTCATCAGTGAAGAAGCACTTTTCAGTAGCAGGGCACTTTCGAAACACTTCATATTTGAATTTTTCATTTTTGATGTTCGTTACACGATCTTCTATCGAACTTTTGGGTACATTGTATGTATTTGACCCTAAAAGATATCCCACTCTACCTTCCATCAGCCAATTTATGGCTAAAAGAATATCTGACTCCTGATCAGTCATTGAAGTCTATTTGACATTCTCACAAATGTTCGTGGCAATCGTAATTTTTTTGCAGTCTGTAAAGAGTTAAAAAAAGTACCGTAAAACATGGCAACTTTGCCCTAAAAATCGGAATATTCTTACATTTTTTGAGTTATTTTGGAAAACCGTAATGTATTTCATACTAAATTGGTACCACACCGTATTTCAAGATCATGTCTCGATATATACTTCTTAAAACATCCAGAAAAATGTATGCATATTTGTAAAAAACACATTCATATGTGGTGGGCAAAAACTCATAGGTCTTTGGCAACTTTGCCAACTTTAAATATTTCCGATATTATAAGCCGTATCATAATTCTTAAAATAGCTGAATATAAATGTAGGGCAATGCAGTATTATACCAAAATATCTTAGGATTTTCTTATCTTAGGATCTGAGAAATTATATAAGGATTTTAAAATACAATTACAAACACGAATCAAATATGTCGTCTATAATTATTAGTATTTTAATTAAGTAAATATGACAGCAGCTATTTTTTATTTTTTAATTATTAAACAAAATATTCTCTCTCATAGGAACAATTGTTATAATTAAGATCAAGAAAATTTTAAATATAGATAAAACAGTCAACATAAACAGTTTCTTATTTTACTTGAGATTGAATTTGCATATTATAATAATAACATAACAATATATATTAAATTATAAAATAACTTTGGTTTACAACATTAATTAATATTTTATAATTAGTTTATTGTATATTATAACTAGAGAAATCAACTTCGAACACAACTAGGCCCCTTCTAGTCATTTTTGGTTGCGGTAATAGGACAACAACGTCATCTACGTGATGCATTTCATAAACATCTTCGACAGGTGGATACGTAAAGGTAAATTTTTTGCTATCTGCAGTATTTTTGACTTTCCTCAGAAATTTTACCGTAGGGATATTATTTATAATATATAAAATCCGCCCAACAAAGTGCTTGACGCTTTTTTTCGTAGCAAATTTAGCGATGAGCCAGTCACCTTCGTTTAAATTACCAACATTGCCTGTGAAATACTCAATATCATTGACCCCAAACGGGATGTCCGGCTCCAAGTTTTCTTTTTCCGACTGATCTTGTAAACAGATTTTTATGTAGTCATTTAATGTTTCATATTCCGAATCACCCGATTCGACTATGCTCAATTGATAGTCAGAAATTTCTGAGCTTGATTCACTCAAATATTTTTTTAATTTCTTCTTCACAGATGTTCTTTTCCTTGATTTTGTTTTAATTTTATGAATTTTACTCTTTTCTTCACGCTTTACACACGAGGTTATATTTTTTGCTTTGTTCCTGTATTTTCTTCTTTTTGCATATTTATGTATTCATTATTTTTGTCCGTTATGCTTGAATCATTGTTTAATTTATTTATTTTATCATTTTTAAATAATCTCATTTTCAGTGCTGATTTCGTAATAACTTTAGCACCAGTATATATTTGAATCTTTAAGTTTTTCCGTGTTTTTCTTTTCTTACAGTTCAATTTTACATTGGAAGTTATTATAACATTTGTTTAGTTTGTTGATTGCAAACATGGTGGCAAATCATTATTATTTATCACCATAAATGGCAAGTTCTCGTTGTCGCTCTTTCGATTTTTGCTCAATAAATGCACATAATTTGGTGATAGCGGAGTAGTGTATTTTAATAAGGAATTCATATTATTATTTATAAATGTGATACAGATTTTACTATCTGGGACTATCGGGATTATAAAGCACATGGGATATATTTGTATAATAATTTTCATTTGAAGTCGAAGGCATTTCATTAGAGTTATGGGGCGGAAAAACAATACCTTCATATTCTATCTCCTGAACAGTTTCAATATGTTTAAGTGTGTTTTTAAAAGAAAATCCTATTTTATCATTGAATACGAGCTCATTTTCGTCTAGTGTATTACCATTTTCTTCGATGTCTCTTTCAGTAGTTACTGCTTCTGATATATTTATCTCACTATCTTGCCTCTTAGTTTCTATATCATTGAAATTATCCTGATAGTTTTCAAAGTGTACAGTTTGTTTGGCTTTCTTATTTTGAACACTTTTGTTACTAATTGTTTTTAATAAAATATCAGCGGCACAAACTGACTTGCCTGGTTCTGTACGTAATTTCTTACTCCTTTTCACTGCCATTGGTTTAGAAGAACTTGTTTTTTGTAGGTAATCTAATAAATCGGAATCTAGTCCGTACACTTCTTCGCCAAAATACTCAGGGGTTCGTTTCAATACATTTCGGGCATTTATTGGCCATATTCCCGCGGCTCTAAATCCACTTTTTATATTATTGCTTTCTCTGAGATTAATATTTTTTAATAATTCGATCAAGAGTTTAGGAAAGTGCTTTCTATTAACAGTTGACTGTCCCGGATTTTGAATTTTATAATTTGTGAGTACCTTTCTCCATTCTCTTTTTATAGGGGCAAAAAACGCTACATCTAGAGGTTGGGTCAGATGTGTAGAGTTAGGTGGAAGAAACACAAACCTAATATCATGTTTTTGGCATAGCTCCACAACTTCGATATTTAGGTGACTAGACAAATTGTCACCTATTATGACTTTTGGCCCTGATAGATTCTTTGCCCACTTTAGTATAATGGTTCTAAAATAATCCTCAAAACAAGCAGAGTCAAACCAACCCGATTTCGTGCAATTATAGCGAGTGCCATCAGGGCCTCCGTCAACCCATTCGGAATATAGATTAGTAGCTTTATATACTACATATGTTGGAAGATAGTCACCAGCTGCAGACACAGTAAACATAATCGAAATACAACTCTTAGAACAGTTTAAAATTCCTTCGGGATATTTTATGCCCCTTCTAAAAATGCATTTTGAATTGCCCGGGTTATCAGACAAATTAGTCTCATCATAGTTAAGGATGTTACTAGCTGAAATATCCTTCAGCGTCGCTTGCAAATTATCGAAGAAACTTTGCATTTCTTGTAAACCTTTCTCAGCCCGGACCTTTTTTATATTTTGTGTAGTTCGAAGTGATAATTTCGATGAATGTCTATTTAAAAATTGTTATACCCATGCATTTCCGGGCATTCTCCATTAAAAATATAACTGCGTAAATTTTTTTTCTAAGTAATTAAAAACAAGCATTTTCAGGTCTAACTTGGTCATTGGACAACCATATTCATCGACAGCCACGAGAACATTTACAAGATTTTCTTCTTCGATGTCTGTTAGTAGCTTTTGTCCCCCAACCGTTTTCATGTGCATTTCTTTTATGGTATGGTCCGCCGTGGTATCCCGAATTGTTTTTCGGCTTGTCTACTAGAGATAACCTTTTGTTTTACCAGATCTACAGCTATATCCAACATTTCCTTAGAGTAGTTTTTGTAATTTCTGGTTCCTAGTTTCCTTCTATTTCTTTATCTTTTTGTACATGTATTATATTTATTATTATTGTCCATCATATATCATATAAAATCATATCATATGTCATATAAAACGAAAACAATATATTTGATAAAAAAAAAACAAATAATAAAAAAGTTACGAAATGCGGCATTACGCAGAATCGTAGAATACTGTGTGTAGAGAATAAATACATCCATCACCAAATGGATATAAAAAATCATCCAAACACGAATCAAACAGAGATCTTTCATTTGTGCTACTAACAAAAATGACAGCAAATGAAAATGTTACAGATGACAACCCTACGGGAAATAAATTGCTGGGCAATGTCGTCAACAATGCTCAAAAAAGAAGTGTGTGACTTTGCCCATCAACATATTTTGAGAATTTATGAATGTTTTTACGTAAATAGTATTCTATAGTACCCATTTTAAATATATTAACAGTGGTAAAAAAAATTCTTACCTGCTGTTACTGCAACTACGAGTATCACGATTTGGAAAAGTTTTTGTGCTGGTTTTTGCCCGCGAAAAAATACTACCAACTTATACAAGTTCTCACAGGCAACTAAAGTTACATAGGTGACATAACGTTAGTTAGTGTTGCCAGAAAAGTAATGAATTTTATACTACAGATAAAAAAATACTTCTAAGTTTTGTCAAATTCGATGTGTATCAAGTTTACCAAAAAATACCCAACTGGGCAAAGTCGAACCTCAAGGGCAAAGTTTCCAGGTTTGACGGTAATTAAAAAGAGAACAAACGCCCACAATATCTGCATATAAATCAATCGGGGTGAAACCGGATAGTCCAAATCACCCCGTCCGCTTGTACCCAATAGGTATCATATTTGAAATTATAATAACTAACAGGTTATGTTTACACTCATAGCAACAACAAATAGCGGTTTAGAAGGTTTAATATGCATTACTTCTTAAATTAAACAACTATTTATGGTTGCACACAGCTTAATGATAACACTTTAAAAAAATAAAAATATTAGATAACGTAGTACCTTTGTTTTCAATTTTCATTTATAGACGCACGCACTGAGATGTTACCGTCGCCGCCATTTGCACCAGCACTGAGTAAGCGTTCACGCGTATTTACCACTAGCTAGAACGAGACAGCTATACACGGAATAATGAAATAGTAACTATCTGGTTCACCCTCTATCCGGTTTCCCCCCTCCTTCCCCTATCTTGTTTACCTTCCTATACTAATGTAATCAAGTAGCAAAATCTGCCAATAAACCAGAAAAGCTCTGCACACAACTAAATTCGAACCATAACACTTCGAATTTTCAATTTATATATAGAACTTAAGAATTAGTGTATAACAACATTAGTTAATTCACATAAATTTCCTTTTTATATAAAAAACATTCATTCAATGTAATACAGTTCATATTAAATATTTGAATGGATTTTATTTATTAAAAAACCAGCGCCGTTTCAACAGTTGGAATTCGAAATATACTGCAAGCAACAACGTTCTTATATTTTAAAAGAATGGCTTTTATACGTTAGTAAATATTTATTTTCATGAAGTAATTAACGAATAACTTTTTGGAATAAGTAACTGAAGACTTCCGTTACCGCCCATAATATGGTCCTCCGGACTGCATCATTAAGTCAAATATAATTGCTTCTTCATCAACATTTATCGTAGCACTATCTGCCTAAAATAGTATTTAGTATATACTAATTTAGTGTTTTAATCAATTTGCAGTATGATCTACGTAATTCGATCGTTACAAGTGCATAAAATTATACGTGGCAGATACGGCAGATACGAGTTTTACTCTGTGACTCTTACTTCTTAGCCAAATGGCTGAGTGGAAAGCGTTAGGAGGGCGTGGGCCAATACTTTGAGCAACTGTCAAAATACGACACCTTCATATAAAAGCGTGTATTTCTTCGTGCATGCTGAACTGTATAATCATAATTGAGCTTCTACACCATCTTTTATGGTAAATGGCAATTTGCGATGTATTGAGGATAAAAATAACTGAGAAAATAGCTGAATATCGATTTTAATTTCAAAAAATGTAAATCGAACAATGTCATGTATTCTCATCTCTATCTAAAATTAACAATCAGAGTCAGAATATAAGCCAGCAAAGCTCGGCCAGTATTGTGTCACGCAATAAATCACAGACGTATCTCGAACTCATTTACCTAAGGGATGAATTAATACCCACTCGTAGAATTTTCTAAAAAGCGAGTCGGGGTTAATCAGCTGTAGCACACGCTAAACATGTGATAATATGTTTAGGACAAGGAAAATACGAGTACTCCGATGCACCAGCTTTTTTAACCCCAGTGGCGGATCTGGTCCCAGGGTCCACCGACAATCAAGTTTCAGACCCACCACCACCACATCAACGGTGCAGCACCACTAGAGTTGCAGAGGATAGAGTGAGTAGCGCTTCTTTATACCAACACTCCTCTTCCCCGGCGACTCCACCTCGGCTGCAGCGTTAAGAGAAGAAGAGACGCCTCTTACTGCAGTCCACCAACACACATCCAAAGTAGACTCGCCAAGCCCATTCGGCTGGCTACTTGGGCCAGCCATGTGGGTTCCTCTTTGTTGACTATGCGTGACCAAGCCACGGCTAAAACAACAGATGCTTTGTCACTCCTTAAGATAAAACAGATCACACAAAACGCAAATGTAATAGAGTAATTGACGTAGCCTAATGGATATTGAAATAAATGGATGGAATGGAAAAAGCTGAAACGGTAAAAGGCCGGCCATATAGTTAGAAAAATCAAAGAGAAAGGTTCTTAAGTGTTATTTTACTAGATAGAGTAACGAGCTACTTGTAATAACACATGCAGGGAATTGATAGATGCAAGTGACACAGAACCGAGTTTTTATTCCAGTCTTTTCGAGTGGCGTTAATGTTCATCCGTGAATTTACGATGAGATGCAATGATGTCGAGGATGATATAGAAAGAAATTTGTTTTTCTTCTCTTTCTTTTCCTAAAAATTTTACCTCACTTAGATTTTCTCCTATATCATGGGGCAAAAAGTTTTTCGGTTCGTTTACAAGAACGGCAAGAAAGATTTACAAGTTAGCACGTTTACGATTCATGATGTTGTATCTGAACTGTCTAAGTTGTTTTCTTCGTTTGAATTATGAATGAATTGTTTCAGTGAATGGTTTATTCTAAGCATGTTTTAACTACTTCAATGTAACGAAAAACCGTCAAGGGAATTGAGAAAATTGTATTTTTGAGATATACAACTTATTATTTTTTATATTTTACCTCCAATACTTGCGTTAGTATACAACTTTTAAGTTATTATGCAAGAATTATTCTTATATATTTATCTTTAAAAAAGATAGTGGCAAAATAATTCTTCCCTCGAACTCAGGAAACTTGTTCAAGGGGTTTTTCGAATCTATATAATATAAAAAACAGGATGTTCTGAGTGACTGACATATCTACCAACGCACAGCCCAAACCGCTTGATGTAAAACTCTGAAATTTGGAAAAAAATTACATTTTATGACGTAGGCATCTATTAAGAAAGGATTTTTGAAAATGCGCGAGCGTGAAATAGGGTATTACAGTTTGATGAAACGTTTTATTTAGTCGAGTCGTTTTTGACTAAAGTCTTGGATTGGGCAATTCATATCTTACAACTTTGCGCGTTTACCGCTAAAAAGAACCCCTTTGTCTCATCTCCTCTATTGCAAGGAACTCCCTTCGTTACCTCAGCCAGCATGAGAATCCTCGGCATCCACATATCTAATGCTTTAGAGTTTTCTAAAGCGGTTAAATGGAGTGTTGCATCTCTTTGCATATTTTATAGCATCTACCACGACAAGTGCTCAGATGAATTTTTCGGACTAATTCCAGCCGCTCAATTCCACCATTGCGATACCATCTGTACATGCCCCTAGCTGCCCCATCCAAGGGTGACGGGATTAGGGCCCATGAGTAATCCCATCGACGGGCAGCAGAGGGACGGGGCCAGAATATGGCCACGTGGAATTTCCTAATTACAATAAACAATATGGGAGAAAGCTAGAAACACATAGTACTTACCATTCTCCGAAGCTAATTTCGCACCAAGGCTTGGGCAGGCCGTGAGTGTGTGTAATAGTGGATGGCGAGTAGTGTACAGTGATGTGTGAGTGTGTGGAGCCTTGGCAAGCATAGACGAGCAGCAACGGCCGAGTTCCAGGCTGCTCCAAAATGTGGTAATCTCCCGCGGAGTCACCCACCGTCACTTTCTTCCTTCTTCCCCATGACAGTCTATATCAAAGGCCGCACGAGCAATTAATATTGTCAAATCACTTATATACGCTATCAAATTAGAATAATCAAATTCGCGGTAAATTAGGCGCGCCTAACACGCAATTCAGACTTTGATCGCAG